ACAACCATTACAACTGAAGTGTGTTGGTTCATAAAACAAATGTCAGGTGTCAGGTGGTCTAAAGAACTCCGTTAACTCAATCCTTAATTTAGATAACCTGGAGGAAATAGGCTTGTATCTGCTTCCTGATTTTTCCATTGGTCACTCCAGGCATTGGCTGTTCAGGCTTGTTCAGCCTTACAATGGCCCAGCGGTGGACATTGTTACATTGTTTTTGGTAAAATCCCACCTGCAGCAGTTCCAGGATGTCATCAGCTCTTCAAACTGTGAATTACGTGCAAGTACAATACTAAATGAAAGTATTTTACAATGAAATATATTTCTATACAATAGGAATGGTGCTTACCTGTATAATTGCCAATACAACATGTTGCCAGAGTGTTTTTGATGGGTTTTAGTGCATTGCTATATGGCTGCTAGGATATTTTAAGCAGCCCACCACCAGTCTCTACGATATTCTGTACAGTATGGCTTGGGTCACTCAGTGCTAGTCTATGAGATTTTCATGACATCATCATATGAACAACTCATCTCAGAGAGAAACAGATGAGTCAGAGCACATTGCTTTTTAATCTAGATAAGGAGCAGGGGCCCGTTCTTCGTACGTCGCTAACTCAGTTAGCTGGATTTGATTGTTGACGATTTGGCATGATCTTGGATAGTTTGGTTCTTCGAAGCTCATCCCGGAGTTGCTGTCATAGCAACAGGTCTGTAAGCTTAACCCTGCTCAGGAGCAGGCTTATTTCATGTAAACAGGATTAGATGGCATCTTTTTAAGCAGAATTGATACTTAAAATCTGTCCGTTACCAACGCTACTTTATTACAAGAGTACCCCACTAACCCAGGGACAATAATTTAAAATAATAATCATTTAAACAGTTATTTAAAGATAATATAATAATGTTGTGTAGTCTTTAATACTATAGACACAGCCAGTTTTACTCACTGAGAGATTTATTTGTCATAAAATGATTACTTAAAAATTGTATTTGAGTCTTACACACATGCTATACAGATAATGTAGAGTCGTGCATTAATTTGAGTGATGACAGATATTATGGGAGTGGCAGATATTAAGAACAGGCCCCTGATCAGATAGTACACAGTCATACAAGACAGAATTGAGTCATTGTTAAAATAACATCCTGACTATGAACTATGACTCAGGTTTCAAGTTTAAGCAATAATGAAACTGATGAAAAACAACGTCTAATGCTAAAAAATATCAGGAATTTGTGGCAGGTTTATCAACCTTTAATATTACTTTTTCCTTTCCATAATGACAAATTCCACCATAAATGTAAACATATCAGTATTAACAATCAATATTTGAACTTCATGATAATTTCTTGCCAATAATAAACAGGAATTATAATATCTCCTGGATGATATTTTGTATTATAAAAACAATAATTCTAATGAAATACAATGCCTTGTCCTTAAAAACAATCAGGAACTTCTTGTGGTATTTTTTCTAAGTGGTAGGACACACAATTTTCACTTTTCACAGTATAACCATACAGCAAATTATCTGGAATGGGACAATGGGCTATTGATAAGACCCTAGGGGGCCATATTGGGGGAAATGGAAGTCAGTTTCTAACTATCTAAAAAGGTTCAAAGGGGGACAGAAGTAACTGGTTGTGGGAACTGAAAGTTGAGCCCATAGGAAGAGGAGGATTTTGAGCGTCTCTCCATTGTTTCTGTCGCTGATGGGAATCTACAGTGAATAATTATGCTGTAATTGTGCAGAGAGGCTGTACACATCCTGACTGAAGGGCTCACTCAGGAACAATAAGGCTGTTTGTCCTCTGGGACATACTAACACCTTTCCAGCACCAAACCCACAGTCTCCTACCTGGTTAGGCACAAACAATCCAGACAGCACATCCTTTCTCACACAACTACTGGATGTATGGGAATGGGAGTACCCGTACAAATACAGCCAGTCATATGACCCACATGTAGGCATGAAATTCTCGTTAGGCTGCATAAAAAAATAAATAAATAACCTCAGAGAGGATGTTTCAAACACAGTCTGAGCAATCACAATGACTGCTTTCATTGGCCAAAGAAAAACTAAACAGAATGACCCAAGGGGCCTCTGAAAACTTCCAAAGGGGCCTCAAGATGTCTTAAAATTATTTAAAATAAGACAAAACAACCAACTTCTTAAACTGTAAAATTCTGTATGATGTAGCCTAATTTTAAAGAGTGATTACTAGATTTGGAATAATAAAATCCTATAACTTTGTGGGCATTTTTGAATATAATAAATATTTTTGAATGTAATGTGTAAAATAGTTGTAGCATTATGTCAAATGGCATAATGAAGTGTGGTGTGGTCACAACTGGTGCATGTACTTAGATAAAATAATTTTAAAAAAATAAGAAGAAAAAGAAAGAATGAATGAATGAAAAAAAGAAAGAACATGCATTTAGTTATGTCAAGCTCTAAAATATTGGGAAGAAACTGTGAATAAAAATATTTAAAAAAAATCTTAATCACAAAACAACAGGAAAATATCATGAAGCCTTTGAATACTGTTGTGGGGACTTGAAGTCAAAGTGACATTAAAAAGTGTGGCATTAGAAAGTGTCAGACACATTTTCCCTAAAATCAGCAAAGAAATCAACACAGGCAGAATCAGTTAAATGTGAAGCAAAACTTACATTGCATTTAAAGTGATGTAAATGTTTTAGGGCTGAGTTCAAGCCATTTACTGAGCTCAACTGAAATATTGCTTCTAATATAACCTTTTATAGAAAACTGTTTTAGGCAGACGAGCCGCCGGTGCCTGGTATCAGCATTTATGCACTTTGCTGATCTAAATCTAGATCAGCACTCATAAAGTTTCACTAGCTTGTTGGCAGCAATGAAGCGCAACTTATGCTGGAAAATGTTAGGGTTACTTCTATTAAGTACACTCTGGGGATTTGTGGTCTTGCTCTTCTGGTTTCCATTAATCAAGCTGTGTGCTGAAAGAAAAAGAATGTACAGCATAGAAAACAGACCATACATCTGTCCTTCGAAATCATAGAAGTCAATGTAAAGGCATTACTATTTTTCTTAATAACAGGGAGAACTGTTTGAAAACAATTTATAAATCTATAATGCAGCAATTACACAATTAACTTAAAATATTGACACCATGCCAGTTTCTGTGGCTATTTCCGTGGTGAGAGAAACTTAAATACATCATATTTTAAAATATATTTTTACTAAAAACTCTAAAATTAAACTGTATTCACTCAGTTTAACTTAAAAAATATATATATTTCAAAGTGTTAACTGATTAAAAAAAAAAAAAGATTTCTTACAGTGTTATGGCCTATTCGGTTACAAGTATTCAAAAACATACTGCACGACTAGTTTAGTTTAATTCATAAATAAATAACTTTTATGAGTTGGTTATACAGTGGTGGACAAAATTATTAGAACACTAGTATTTTCACCAGCTAAAAATGGTTTTAAGTCAATTATTTATATCTTTTGCTGTAGTGTGTCAGTAGGAAATATCAGTTTACATTTCCAGACATTCATTTTGCAATTAATTGTAATAAACCAGTGAGATGTGGAATGACATGAAGAAGCAGAACAAACTGAGACAGACTAAATCCAGAAGAACTGTGGCAACATCTCCAAGATGCTTCAAGAGACCTACCTGCAAAGCTACAGTAGGCACTTGTGTAAAAATGCTGTAAAATGAGGATGCTGCCAAAAATAATGTCATAGATTTTCTTTATCAATTAACTTATATTAACTAAATTAAATCAACATTTGGTGTGACCATCCTTTGCGTTTAAAGCAGCTTTCTCCCTAGGTGCACTTGTGTATAGTTTCTCAGGTAGCTTTGCAGGTAGGTGTCTTGAAGCACCTTGGAGACGTTGTTTTGTGTTTATGTTATGTTTTCTTTATGATTTTTGTGCAATGTGCAAAATTCACACAAGTTGGAAAGAACATCTGACAAACACAGTGCCAAAATTAAAGTGTGTCTGTACATTTATTATATGAACACAAGGCAGCCTCCCACACACTTCAGCACAAAAGTTAGCTGTGCAATTATCACTGACAGTTTAGCCATAACAATGCTTAGGAAAGCACTACTGTACATGGGTAATAATCTCTGCAACAGTACAAGTTCACTGTACTACTGTACATGTAAAAGGACTCAAAACCACAGATAATTGAAATTCCAGCTAAACCTTCCGGTAGAGGTCTGCATTCCCGCGGCACCCGACCAGATTTTTTGCGCCGCGGGATTAAATTCCCGAATAAAACGCGGTAGCGGTCGGTAACTTGTGTAATTTGAACGGGAGCGGGAGGTCTAACAGTATCCCGTTCCCGACGTCCATTTAGAACAGCATATCTGCGCTTTATTCTTATTGACCACCGGTACAGCCTGCACTCGGAATGTTATGCAGAGCGCTGCACGCATGCTTTCTG